GTTGAGAAGAGGGTGTTTGTTACTCATAATGGCCGAGGCTAAGACAAAAGTGGATTTGGGCTCCCCCAGCAATCCCCAGGCCTTAATCAAATGTTCTTTTTTTTTTTTTTTTGAGACAGAGTCTCACTCTGTCACCCAGACTGCAGTGCAGTGGCACAATCTTGGCTCACTGCAAACTCCACCTCCCAGATTCAAGCGATTCTCCTGCCTCAGCCTGCAGAGTAGCTGGGATTACAGGCATACATCACCACACCTGGCTGATTGTTACATTTTTAGTAGAGATGGGGTTTCACAATGTTGGCCAGGCTGTTCTTGAACTCCTGACCTCAGGTGATCCACCTGCCTTGGCCTCCCACTGCTTTGGGATTACAGGCATGAGCCACCGTGCCCAGCCTCAAATGTTCCTCTTAAAGTCAAGTAGTAAGTCTTGCCTTTATAATTACAGAAATACAGATGTTGCCACAAGTCAGACAGGGAAATACAAAACAATATCCCAGAGAAATCACCATGAGAAAAATGAAGGTGTCTGTACGTTACATTATCTTTACGTTTACTTTAAAATGCTTCAGCATGGATAGTGTGGTATGATGTGTTCTAATTACTTTCATTCTTTACTTAGGAATAGTTAGTTGGGCATTTGAAGAGCCCTGACTGAAACTGGCTTTGCAAAAGTATGACAGAGAAATTGAACGTGGCTGACTCCATCTTGCTTCTAGGCCTCACAGGCTGGCTGTCTTTGCTCATTCGTGGGTGTGGGCCGAGATGACTTTGGGAGAAACTTAGTTTATAGTTTAAATGATAGTAGCCCTCCCCCAAACTAAACGGTTCTTGCAAAACTAATGAAAGGCCACCAAGTTAGGAGGATGAGAGGGGCTTGAGTTCTAAATAATTACCAGCCCTTATTCTGGAGGTCAGAAGATTTGCAACTTCCCCGATTACTCCTGCAGATAACATCACTATTGTAGAACCTAAGACTGGCTTTTGAGACGTCTTTTCAGGTTTTTGCATTTCTGACAAGGGATGGCCCCACCTGTACCTGCCAACCAGTCCTGTGGCCCCATCCTGGGAACTTACCCAGCATAAGAGGGCAGCTTTGATTCCCTATGATTTCATCTCTGACCCAGCCAATCGGTATACCCCTACCCTAGGCCCCTGCTCATCAAACGATCTTGGAAAAAACCCTAACCTTTGAGCCTTTGGGGAGATTGAGTTGAGTGATAACAGTCTCCTGTGTGGTGTGGCCAGCCTTGTGTCAATCAAACTCGTTCTTTACCGCAATGGCATGGTCTCAGTGAGTTGATTTTGTGTGTGCAGCAGGCAGGAAGAACCAATCAGAAGGTTACATAATTGGGATATATGGGTGAAGGAAGTCCTTTCCCCTGTTCTGAAGATTTGAGGCTAAAAGTCTGGTGAAATAAGCTGGCAATAGACAGATTAAAAGGAGAAAAAATATATATAATATATGTACATTTTATTGACATGCAGAAGGGCATCACATGGAAGGTAAGGAACTGCCCAATAACTCGAGACCTAAAAGCTTTTATATTCCCTTCATAGGAAAGAGGGAAGAGGAGTATGTAGGCAACCTAGAGAGAGTAAATGATTATGAAAAATACGAATCAGCCTTCCGAAGAATAGGTTATATTCTGTCTGTAGGAGGTGCTAACCTCCGACTTTTTCTAGGTTTGACTTCTGTTTTGTGTTAATCTTCGCGGATAGATAAAAATCCCCAGGAAGCATTTTCATGACAATTGGCTTCCTTCTGGAGAATCTGCACTTAGTCAGATAAGGGAAATTCAAGAAAAGTCCATCTGTGCATTTGCCATTTCCCAAAAGACTTCAGTTTAAAGTAATCAGCATACCAGTGCTGCATATTTTGGAGTGATATTTCTGAACTCCCTCAGGAAAAATATACTCCAGCCATGGTAGGTTAATATTTGAAATTGTCATTTCAGGCCAGGCATGGTGACTCATGCAGGTAATTCCAGTACTCTGCAAGGCCAAGGCAGGGGGATCACTTGAAGTTAGGAGTTCAAGACCAGCCTAGCCAACAAGGCAAAACCCCGTCTCTACTAAAAATTCAAAAAAAAAAATTAGCTGGGCATTGTAGTGCATGTCTGTAATCTCAGCTACTTGGGGGGCTGAGGCAGGAGAATCGCTTGAAACCAGGAGGCAGAGGTTGCAGTGAGCTGGGATGGTGCCACTGCACTCCAGCCTCAGCAACAAAGTGAGGCTTTATCTCACAAAAAAAAAAAAAAAAATTCTCAATTCAGAAGCCACATTCCAGGAGGATTAGATTATGGTTCCAGCCATCTTTATCTCACATCAATCCCAGGGGATTTGTTAATTAGCATAAGGGATGTTAGAAATGATTTTTTTACTGGTAAAATGAATTCAATTTTATGTGGATTGTATAAAAATGTTTTATGGATACTCTTGCCTTTGCATAAATGAGGTGTAAAAGTTCAGCTAGCCTGTCTATTCACTTTGAATTATGTCTCCAGGCTTGAAATTCTAGACTGTTTGAATTATCTCTCCAGGCTTGAAATTCTAGACTGTAGTGAGAGCATTTTTCACCTGACTCTCACTTGAGAGTTAGTTAATCCTGCCCCAAAGCTGGAACGTGGTCCTCCTGTCTCTGATGCGCATAAGGTTCTGTGGGAACACTGAAAGGTCAGAGAGCTAAGACTTCATCAAGCTTACAAAATGGGTTGTATGACTATTTGGAAGGCCTGATTGCTAATACATATTTATACCCATGGCTGAATGAGGTCTGAAATTTGGTTTCATTATAACATACCATCTGGAATTGAAGTCTCTATGGTTGTCACTGGCTTCTAACTATTGGAAGCTTTGGATATCTATCATAAGGCAACTAATAAGTGTGTATGACCAAATTGGCTTACATACCTTGAAAACAGCATTGCAGCTACTTCCTTTTTTTTTTTGTTTTGGTGAGGGGGGTGCGGCGGGGATGGAGTTTTGCTCTTACACCCAGGCTGGAGTGAAGTGGCATGGTCTCAGCTCACTGCAACCTCCATCCTCCCAGGTTCAAGCAATTCTCCTCAGCCTCCCAAGGTAGCTGGGATTATAGGCACCCACCACTATGCCCAGCTAATGTTTGTATTTTTAGTAAAGACAGGGTTTCACCATGTTAGCCAGCCTGGTCTTGAACTTCATACCTCTGGTGATCCACCCTCCTTGGCCTCCCGAAGTGCTAGGATTTCAGGCATGAGCTACCACACCTGGCTGCAGCTACTTCTTTTTATAATTCATGGCTTTTGGCCACAAATGCATGCAAGTAACTAGATGAATACATCTATTATTTGCATGTGTATTAAAATTATTTCTTCTTTTTCAAATTATTCCTTCTTTGCACCAGCTAGCATTTAAATATATCTATGTGATTCAAAGCATTTGGCAGAGATATTAGAGATGGAACAAGATCCACAGAGGGTCTAATAAAATAATAATTGTGGTGGCACACACGTGTACTCCCAGCTACTTGGGAAGCTGAGTTGGGAGGATCACTTGAACCTGGGAGGCAGAGGTTGCAGTGAACCCAGATTGCACCACTACACTCTAGCCTGGGTGACACAGTGAGACCCTGTCTCAATAATAATAATAATAATAATAATAATTAAAAAAAGAAAAAAGAAAAACATAATAATAATTATAATTATAGTAAAAGTAGCAAGTAGCGTTTTCCTTTTTGCAAAATTAATTCTAAATTTCAGCATGTACAAAAATACATTCTGGAAAGATTAAAGAAATAGGTGTAAACACCATAAAAGTCATGGAAGAAACGTAGTATTTTCATCTTGGGGATAAGAAAGTAATCTCAAGCAAGAAACACTTGAGAAAAAATACTTTTTGCTCACTAATCTCTAGGTTCATGACTGAGGGCCCTATAACAAAATACAGATTCACAAGAGAAAATCATACACATTTATTTACTACAAGTTATACGTGGTATGGAAGCCTTCATAAGGAAAGGAAGACCTCCCCTAAATGCACAAATTTGTATATTCCTTATGCTAGGTTTGATGAAGAAATATGATTGAACAAAGGGAGAATGATGTCATTGAGAGAGGAGGAAGGAAGAAACCAGTCAGGCAGGCAGTTATGGGGGGGTCCTCGGTTGAATCCTTTCAAACAAAAGAACAGCCAGAAAAATCAAGCTGCAGGCACAGATAAGGCAACTTGCACAGCGGGGCTTGCCTAAGACATGCCCAGAGTCACACAGATAAGAAAGGCTACACAGGTGACTTGCCCAGACATGCCTGCAATGGAAAATTCTATCCCCTGACACATGTGCAGTAAGGGCAACAAAGCAATATGGAGTAACTCAAGCTAAGGGCCTACATGCACATTAGGAGGATGGGGTGGAGCTCCCAGAAGCTCACATCTCATGCAAATGAGATGCCCAGCTCTAATTGGTTTCTTATAAAAGCCTTTGCATTCAACTGTAAAAATGGCAACCTCTTTTGGGCCCCCTCTCTGTGGTGGAGAACTTTCTTCATTTGCTTATTAAACTTCCACTCCAACCTCACCTTTGGTGATCATATTCCTTAATTGTCATGGTTGTGAGACAAAGAACTCAGGGTGATTCCTCAAACAATGGGAGACTGCTACATTGTGGCGCGTTGGTGAGACTGTAACACAATGGTAATAAACTGGGGAGAACTTAGGAAGCCCTGTTTGTTCAAACTCTTCTCTTTGTCCCTGTGTCTTCAGAAAAGAGGATGTTCCTATCTTCTGGGTGTAGGAAGGACACCTCCCACATGAGGGTCATAAGACCCACTTGAGGTGATGGTCAGGAAATCCTTCCTAGGTTTTATGATCTGTTTCAGGGGAGTGGGGCATTGTTGGGGAGATAGTGAGAGTGACCTTCTGCTTCTTCTATCTTCTCAAATGCCAAAGTTTCACATTTTTGGGTAGCATGTCCTGAATTCCTTCAACACAAAACCCAGAGTTAGAAAAAGAAAAGATTGAGTGTGCGCCGTCCGGGGCTAGAGCAAGCGCGCCCGCGCGGCCGGGAGCCATGCTGAGGAGCTGCGCCGCGCGCCTCCGCACGCTGGGGGCCCTGCGCGGGCCGGCGGGAGGCCGGCGCCTGCCGGGTAGGGAGCCGCGACCTGCGCTGAGGTCATTTTCTTCTGAGGAAGTCATTCTTAAGGATTATTCTGTCCCCAACCCCAGCTGGAACAAGGACCTAAGACTGCTCTTTGACCAGTTTATGAAGAAATGTGAAGACGGCTCCTGGAAACGTTTGCCTTCATATAAACGTATACCTGCTGAAAAGATTCAAGACTTCAAAACCCATTTGCTTGACCCAAAGCTTGTGAAAGAAGAACAAATGTCACAGACCCAGCTCTTCACCAGAAGCTTTGATGATGGCCTGGGCTTTGAATACGTGATGTTCTACAGTGACGTCGAGAAAAGGATGGTTTGCTTATTTCAAGGAGGCCCTTACCTGGAAGGACCACCTGGATTCGTTCATGGAGGTGCCATTGCAACCATGATTGATAGTACTGTTGGTATGTGTGCATTGATGGCTGGGGGAGTCGTCATGACTGCCAGTCTCAACATCAATTATAAAAGACCTATCCCTCTTTGCTCTGTTGTTATGATAAATAGCCAACTTGATAAAGTTGAAGGAAGGAAATTTTTTGTTTCCTGTAATGTTCAGAGTGTTGATGAGCAGACCCTATACTCAGAGGCAACAATTCTCAAGATTCTTGCCAGAGAAGACAGAGTTGAAGGATGATGCTCTTCCCAATGCCAGCTGGTGTTTGGACATGCTGTGCCTGTACCAAGAATTTCTGGAGAAGACCAAGTCTAGCGGCTGGATCAAGCTGCCCTCCTTCAAGTCTAACGGAGACCACATCTAGGGACTCAATCTCCCATCTGGACTGGCAGTTTCCTCAGGTAAGGATAGGACCATGAGCACACACATCCCAGCCGCCCTTCCCTGTGTTCTAAGACTCTGAGAAGCAACTTCACAGACCGCCTTCCAGTTCTCAGCCCAGTTCTTCCTGCTGTCCAACTCCACCCCTCATGCTGCAGCCCCAGGTAATAGGCGGTGGGTGTCCTCTCAGGTCTCCAGTTCCCCTCCTCCCATCTGAAGCAGCACACCCTGGTGGGCCCACCTTTGCTCCCAGCCAAGCATGTCTCCACTGGAGGACAGCCAGCCCAGCTCCCGCCCTGACTTCTCCCTGACTGCCCTTCCCTAACTATCAAGCTTCATTCCAAGCCTTCTGCCCCAACCCCATGAAAGCCCTTGGACCCCACACCCCTTCCACTGGAGGCCCTGCACATCATCCCTGCTTTGCCAGGTCTGGAGCAGCACTTCTGAAACACCTATTGGATCCTAATGATAGAGCTTCCACCTTCGTGTGTGTGCACACTCGCACGTGCACGCATGTGTATCTTCCTCATAGTGTATCTCTCACTCATATATGTGGTCTTCCTGCCTAGTGATGAAGGAGTGGTACAGGGGACAGATTACCCTTGGGTTTATGGCACAAACAAAGCAGAGATACCAACATAATTTTTTTTTAAAAGAATTTGGTACTTCCAAAAAAGGATATAGCAGTGGTAGTTGTCTTGGGAAAGAAATCAGAACTTTGATGGATTTTCTGCTCTTATTTTACTGTTTAGTATTATTCTTTTGAATTATATGTGAGTTACATGAGTAATTACATTTTCAATTTTCAATGCTTATGGTCTCTTAAAGTCTTGCCCTGGCCCTGATCCTATCTCCATTCTCAGCCAGGGCACTTCCTGCATGCTTCTCCCCGAGACGGAAAGGCTCTGTGAGGACAGCAATTGTGCCTCTGCTCCCAGAGGGAAGGCTCCCTGGGGGTGGACCTGGTGTCCTGTGGGGAAAAGAAAGAGAGTTCAGACTATTACTGTGTCTATATAGAAAGAAGTAGACATAAGAGACTCCATTTTGTTCTGTATTTGAGATGCTGTTAATCTGTGACCCTACCCCCAACCTTGTCCTTGAAAGAGACATGTGCTGTGGTGACTCAAGGTTTAACGGATTTTGGGCTGTGCAGGATGTGCTCTGTCAAACAAGTGCCTGAAGGCAGCTTGCTGGTTAAAAGTCATCACCATTCTCTTAATCTCAAGTACCCAGGGACACATGCACTGCGGAAGGTCACAGGGACCTCTGCCCAGGAAAGCTAGGTATTGTCCAAGGTTTCTCCCCATGTGAGAGTCTGAAATATGGCCTCGAGGGAAGGGAAAGACCTGATCGTCCCCCAGCCTGACACCCGTGAAGGGTCTGTGCTGAGGAGGACTAGTATAAGAGGAAAGAAGGCCTCTTGGCAGTTGAGATAGAGAATAGCATCTGTCTCCTGCCTGTCCCTGGGCAATGGAACATCTCCGTATAAAACCCGATTGTATGTTCTATTTACAGACAAAGGAGAAAACCGGCAAGGTGCTAGCGGCAATGCTGCTCTTTATGCACTAAAAAGGTTTTGGAGATGTTTGCATATGCATATCAAGGCACAGCACTTTTCCTTAAACTTGTTCTTGTCACAGAGATCTTTATTCATATGTCTTACTGCTGACCTTCTCCCTACCATGATCCTATTATCCTGCCACTTCCCTTTTCTAAGATGGTAAAGATAATGATCAATAAATACTGAGGGAACTCGGAGACCAGTGCTGGCGCGGGTCCTCTGTATGCTGAGCGCTGGTCCCCTGGGCCTAGTTTTCTTTCTCTATACTTTGTCTGTGTCTCATTTCTTTTCTCAAGTCTCTCGTTCCACCAAACGAGAAACGCCCACAGGTGTGGAGGGGCAGGCCACCCCTTCAGTGTGCTCTGGTTTTCTCTCCTTAATCTTGTACCAGAGGCAAGACTCAACCAAATGGTGCTGTATCCTGACCATGCCCTCCCTTCTCCGGCTGCGACACTGCCCATCTCTCCCCAGACAAGGGTGACTGTTGCATCTTCACCAGGTGCATCCAAGTGGAAGGACAAGGCTTTGAGTATGTCATCTTTTTCCAGCCATCCAAGAAGTCGGTCTGTCTTTTCCAACCAGGCCCCTACCTGGAGGGGCCCCCAGGGTAAGGTCACTGGTAGGACCTTGGCTGCCTCCTGGGCTTGACTCAGCAGGGCAGGTTCAGCATCCATCAGGCTGGCACTGGAGACTCCGTCTTTCTCTAAGCGGGGATTTTTTTTTTTTTTTTTTTTTTTTTAGAGAAAGAAAACTAGGCCCAGAGGGACCCAGCGCTCAGCATACAGAGGACGCGCCAGCACTGGTCTCGAGTTCCCTCAGTATTTATTGATCATTATCTTTACCATCTTAGAAAAGGGAAGTGGCAGGATAATAGGATCATGGTAGGGAGAACGGTCAGCAGTAAGACATATGAATAAAGATCTCTGTGACAAGAACAAGTTTAAGGAAAGTGCTGTGCCTTGATATGCATATGCAAACATCTCCAAAACCTTTTTAGTGCATAAAGAGCAGCATTGGCCGCTAGCACCTTGGCGGTTTTCTCCTTTGTCTGTAAATAGACCATACAATCGGGTTTTATACGGAGATGTTCCATTGCCCAGGGACAGGCAGGAGACAGATGCTAATTCTCTATCTCAACTGCCAAGAGGCCTTTTTCCTCTTATACTAGTCCTCCTCAGCACAGACCTTCACGGGTGTCAGGCTGGGGGACGATCAGGTCTCTTCCCTTCCCTCGAGGCCATATTTCAGACTCTCCATGGGGAGAAACCTTGGACAATACCTAGCTTCCTGGGCAGAGGTCCCTGTGACCTCGCAGTGCATGTGTCCCTGCCGGGTACTTGAGATTAAGAGAATGCTGATGACTTGTTAACCAGCAAGCTGCTTCAGGCACTTGTTTGACAGAGCACATCCTGCACCAGCCAAAATCCGTTAACCTTGATCACCACAGCACATGTCTCTTTCAGAAGGACAAGGTTGGGCGGTAGGGTCCAAGAATTAATCAGCACCAAATACAGAACAAATGGAGTCTTTATGTCTACTTCTTCATTATATAGACACAGTATA